ATACAGATTAGCATCGAGTAGATCCTCGTTTATTATGGTTCATAAAAGATCCAACTCAGTGCTTAACGGCATTTTCACATAGTGTAACTGACAGAACAGATATGCGTCAGATATCACTTAGTTAGAAATAGTAATTTAGATAAACAATTTACCAAATTTTGGGAAATAAAGAAGATATCCATGAAATTCGCGTAAAGAAAAAATTATTATGAAACTCATTTCGGAAACATGTAACAAACGACAAACGGACATTACATAATTAATATACCATTTCAAAATAATATACTTCAACTAGATGATTCGCGTGAATAGAAGGAAAAGCGATTATATTTGTTTGAGAGAAAATTAGCTAGATAAGCCGTTACCAAAATCTAATAAATTATTTTCATTGTATTTTTAGACAAATGGAATTATAAGAGTTGGTGGCAGATTGCGAAATATGCTCATATAATTTCAGAAAAGGCATCCTATATCATCCTATACTCTTCACCCGTTTACAAATAATAATAAGAAATGAACATATTAGATTGTTATATGTCAATAGAATCATTATGGTGATATTAGCCCATGTACAAAGCCATCAATAGAATGCGTAATGGGTCAGCTATCTGCAACTTGAATATTGACGCCGTTTTCTCTGATCTATTTCTAACGCGTGAGAGAACCTGTAGCAAGAGCGTAATGCTATTTATGCATTATATGTATGGTTTATCACGAAAGCAATATATCTAAAATTAATCACGAATCTCTCCATTGAGGCATTTTTAAATTATTTGCGTAGATTCAGCTCGTAGAGGATTATGTAGGATAATTCTATATGTTCTATATGTTCTAATAATAGAACAAAGGCTCGCGAAATGAATTAAGCTCTTGAAAAATAAATAGCATAATACAAAAATATCAAGTGCATTAAAAAAATACAATATGGAATGACGCCTGAATCTTCTGCACACGTCATATTTTAATAGGATTATGGAAGAATAAAATCTATCAAATATCATCTGTGTTGTGTCGTTGATAAACAGAGATTGATTCGAAAAGTTATATACTCTGCTAACTTAAATAGAATCTTGGAACTTCCGATCCATTACTCTGTTATCTGATCTCAATGATCTGTATTCTTTGATTCCAGATTTCCTGATAGGTAATGCATTCATTGCAATAGCGAAGAATGACTTGCGAGAAATAAAAGTGAATCGCTTTAGTCAATATTAGTTAATTCAAGACATGTTCCAGCATTTTCAGTAACATTAGAATAAAGAATTACAACAATTACAGCAAAGAAACAAATAACACAGATTAATAAATACTTTGCATTAAAATGATGGTAATAATACAAGAAGAAAACTTTCCCCCTCTACAATGATGCATAGATAGTGTGATACAACTTCATCTTGGGATATCCTGCGTATGGTCATTATAAAAGTACGTAAAAATCACCAGCGGCATGATCAAGCGACCAACGGTGAAGTTGTATATTTTGCCCATACAAAAAAACAGCAAATCATCTTTGGATTCAAATGATAAGAAGCGAATCAGCACACATCGACTCTAGATAATAAGGAAGCGCAGATATTATAAAAACATTTTGCGCAATTAATATATCAATGAAATATATTATAATGAAATCGCCAATAATTTCAAAACGGACTGTATGTTAAAGATAAGGATGTTAAGCATAAGATTTGTGAAACGATCAAACAGTTCAGATTTTATTTTCAATAATTCGAGAATCTTCAATAGTCTGACAATAATTTATGAGTGGATATAGTTCTTTAACGCTTTCCAGATTTTCAATTTAAACAGAAATATAGCAGCAATGACCACTTTACAAGTCATACTTCTATATCTTGTAACAGATCACTATAGAAGCATCCTAACCGATGCGATTCACAATGGTTCGAAGGATAGAAACTGAACAAAATTATTTTTTTCCGATTTTGAGTTTATAGAGTTTATATGGAGATTTAATTTTTAGAAAACAATATTGAATTTTATTGTAATTTATTATTTTATTAAAAATGTATATAACATAAAAATATAACTAAATATATAAAAATATTTACATTGCATTTAATTAATATAAAATAAAAAAAATACAAGTAATCAATATATAAAAAATATATAAATATATAAATATACAAATATACAAATATATAGGAAAATAAAACATAATATAACTTAAAAAAATAAATAGAAAAAAAATTAATAAATACTTAAATAAAATTGAAAAGAATAAAACAAAATTATAATTTTTTAAATATAGATTATAACATTAAAAATATACTTACAATTAAAAATATGTTAGTTTTATTCACTACTTGAATTTGAATCCGATGACTTGCGTAATGAGAATGAGATATATGGATTGAACAATTTGTATTACAATATTACAAAAAGAAATGTGGTCGAATCTATTCTATTGAAAAAAAAAAATGCAAAATGTGACAAGTCATTACTCTCAGATCATACTCTTAAATAATCACACAAAAAATCTGCATGGCAAATGTAACAAAAAAGTTATAGTAGGTAATTAACTTAAAAAGCATTTCAAATTTGAGAAACATAATAATAAATAATAAATTGGATAATAATAACAATAAATTGGATCTTGAGAATTCGAAATGATATTCTAAAAAAACAGATATTAAGAAAAAAATGCTTATTAAAAAAAGAAGTTATGACTCTTTGTTAGAGATATCCGCAAAAATCCTATCCTATAAATTATTCGATAGATATGAATCAGATATAGAAATAATAAACTAAATAGTGATAATTTAAGAAAATAACAATAAAAACAATGAAATTGAAAATTATAAAATGAAAAAAGCATTGTAGAAAGACATATCAATCACTCAAACATTGAAAGAAATAAAAAATTGCCAATTAAAATTAAGAATTTTATTATTTATTTCTCCAAAATATAATAAATAAATAATGATATAAATATATTATTATAATATAAGACGGGTTAAAATTAATTCATAAATACTAGTGGCTAAATTAAAAAATCTGTTAGTGATAAGCGTTGTGCCTGTATATGCGCAGTCATAAACAAAATTAATTTTAGTAAAGTTTTGCAAATTAAATATAGTAAAATAATATACAAGGTTTCTACTTTTTATATATCCAATTCTTATCGCATGAAACGACGTGGAAAATATAAAAAATCATTGCAATTGATAAATCATTGCATTTGTAAATTTCTAACATAAAGTAATTACTTTAAATTTAATTTACAAAAAAAATAAAAAATTTATAGAATTAACTAATTAATAAAAAATTAAAATAAATGTTTTAAGATATCATATTCGTTATAAAATTGAAATTTAAATACTTCTTAATAAATTTATAGAATATTTCTTAACTATTAAAATGATGACAGTTCAGTTCTCTGCCTATATATATGTATTTTGTTTAATTTGTAAACGTTTAAAAACAGGTAAAAATTTTAATATATAAAAGTTTTAATATAAGATTATTATACATTACATTGAAATAATTATTTTTTATAAATTTAAAAATGAATTTTGTCCATTTTTAATATATTGTTCGAATAATATATTGTTCGTTGTGTGATTCCGCGAGGGCTCATCTTTCGAAACCACTTTTCAACGCGACTATTGGTCTCTCTAACCTCTTCTTAGTTTGCATTTTCACGAAAAGTGTGAAAGTAATGATTGAAGAAAAAACCAAGGTCCGTTACAATTTTTTAGATAAAATCAGAATAGAAATAGAATATAGAATTCAGCAACGATACAGTTCGCATAAAAATACAATTAGAATCATCACAGTCTTCAATCAGCCGCAATCATTTAAAGTACTAGTTCACTTAAAATTCATAATATAAGCAATTATAGTCTTATGGCAGCTGATCTTTCGCATAATAGCATCAGTTTAGGCACTACATTTATGTAATATTCAAAGTCATTCAGTTTCGATTTTAATGTTATATCAGTATTTAATTATATTAATTATCACATATAAATAGATCTAAAAAGTATTTAAGTCTTTTCTTTGAGAATAAATAATAATTTTGAATAATAATTTTTAATTAGAGATTAAATCTTATGGTTTTTTTTCTCCTATATTGATATATTTTTTCCAATTTCTTTTTTCTATTTGTAATTTTTGATATTTTTTTTTTTTTATCTTTTATGTCATTATTTTTTACACAGTGCATTTAATATAATTTTTAGAATAATCAATTATAAGGATTTTCTTTTTTCTTCTATGGGATTTGATAGATATATCTTAAATTTAAATTTTATCCATTTGGTCATAATTTTATAGATTTATAATTATTTTTTAAATATATTAATATTATAGATTTATTGTTCTTATTATAATTTGAAATTTTATTATGATTTTCTTATTAATTTTTATTTATTTAATTTTCTTTTGAATTATATTTTCTAGTTTAGTTTATTGTTCAAATGAAGACTAAAATATTTGAGTTTGCAGGATTTTTTAATTTAATTTTTTTTTAATTATGAAAATAGATTTTTGAAATTTTTTTTTTAATATGTGAGTATTTTATTGATCTTATTTTGTTACCTTTTATTCATTCTTTTACATATTAATAATTTTGTAAATTTAATATTTAATATTAATTAATATTTTCAATACTTTCGTGGATAGAATAATATCATCCATAAATATAAATATTTATATAAGATGTTATGAATTTTATATGTCTACAATGTAAAGAATATAATGAATCCAAATATATTTCTCTACAATATGTCAATATAGATTTTAGGGAAAACGATATATTTTTAATTCAAATATAAAAATCTATTTATCTATTTATGAGATATGAAATAATAATCGAAAACATAACAATAGGATGTTTTTTTATTATTATATTTTATTTATAATTTATATATAATTTATTTAAAAATTGCCAAATTATCAAATTTATTATCAAAAGTTTTTTCTATATTCAGAAAACAGTATAGTATTTTATATACTATACTATATATATTATATACTATACTATATATATTATCTATATCACATTTAACATTATCTAATTACTTTGATTTTAATTTTTAATGTTACATACATGTCATGTTTTATTTTATGAATTTGGATGTTTTGTAGAAATCATGTTTAGATCAACGATTTGACAGTTTTCGATTGTTAAAATCTTCGGTTCGTTGGCGATCAAAGTTTTCGTTTTATCTGGACACACAGTAATGCTATATTTAACATAAAAAAATTAATAATTAATATATAATTATTAGTAAATAGTTATGAAATAATTAGATAATTATTCAATATATTACATTTAATAATTATACAATAATACTATATAGTAATTAATTATAATATTAATGATTAGAAATATGTTGAACAATTATGTAAATTCATGAAAATTGAGATATTATAATTTTTATTAAAAAATTTAAAATTGAATAATTGAAGACATTAAAT